ATCCTTATATTATATTAAGATGATAAAAATATTTTTTATGTAAAGAACCAATAAAATCAATTTATTCATATATGGTATCATAGATTTGAATATATTTGGTAAGTTTTTAAGCCATAAAAAGGTGTGGATATATAATTGTTTAGTCTTTATTTGTTTCGATTGTTGAATGAAAATGTATATAGTTAATATGAATAAGTTGTGCCTTTTCTTTTAAAGCAAAATATTGAAATAAAATAAAAAGAGTTTAAAAAAAATTTAAAAAAACGAAGGTTCTTTAAGTTGTTTTTTGTTTGCACGAATTGAAATAAATTATTGATTTATTTGGTTAACGATTTGTTAATATTCAATGAAAATTACTTTGAATATAAAGAGTTCGTTTAATTGGTTGATGTGTTTTTCCATTATTAATATCTTTGATAAATTTATCTTTATCAGGTATATTATCACAATCTGTTTGACCAACAGTCGAATAAATATCAAGATTAACTTTTCTTAATTGTTCATAACCAAGTGGTTGACGTTTTTTATCCATTGAAATATTTGAAATTTTATCTAATATTTCTTGACGTTTTTCTCTAGTAGAAAATTCTAATTGTCGAATAAATTCTTTTTTAGCATTTTCAACTTTTATTGATAAATCTTTAATATTATCTTGTGAACTAATAAAAACAATTTCTTCTTCATTTTCCATTTGTTTTTGTAAATCATCTAAATGTTTTGACATTTCAATTTCTAATTTTGAAATAAATTCTTCAATTAATTTTCTATAATATATTTCAGATTTATCCATTTTTGAACGACCTTTTAATATTATTTTATTAATTAAATCTTGTCGTTGTTGAATAATTTTATTAATAATTATTTTTTCCATAGATGATATATTTGATAAACGATTATGAAGAATATCATCAGCTGTTACATTTATTTTGTGAAGATTATTTATATATATATCAATATCTTCTGATACAGATGAATTAATACAACCATGAACCTTACTTTCAATATCTGCAACAATATCCGATGAATCTCCATGAACGAAATATTTATCTTGCCAACTACTATTTTGTGTTTCTTTCTGTTTAAGTTTAATACTGTCCGATAAGTCACCTTGTGATAGAGTTGTACCACTTGATTTAAACTATAACATAATATTAAATTTATTTTTTCTTTATTTAATTAATTTTAATTTAAATTATAGAAAACTAATCTCATAAATATTCGAATATCCGAAAAAATTTCATTGTAAAAGTATCTATTCTTCTTCTTCTTCTTCTTCTTCTTCTTCTTCTTCAGTTATTATTTATTGATATTTAATAACTGAAGAATAAGATATCATTTTTGAAGGAAATTTTAAGAAGATTCTAACGTCCATTATACTCATTTATCAGTAAAACATCAGTTCAATTGACGAATCACATTTGAATATATTCCCTTGTTAAAGATCCAATTTATTCACTGAAATATTCATTCTTCAGATAATCATTCTTCGTGGAGAAAAACATTTTTTTTTGTTCTGCTTTCAATTTAAAGATAATGATAAAGATTCGATATTTCGAACATGATGATCACTAAATGCAGAAGTGACGATTACTCTTCTAGAATATGATTAATAGTAGTTTGAGAATGTCTGATATATATTTTCTATGATAGGTTAGTTTCATTCAAAGGTCATTGATCATGTTAACAACTAGTCAACTCGAATTATCTAAAAAATGATCGAGTTAACGTTAACTTATTTTTGGTTAGCTTCCTATTGTAAACATCCTATTAATATACTAATTATCTTTAAAAATCTAAAGACGAAAGATGAAATTCTAAGAGAAATTAAATCTAATACTAATAGAATATTATTAAACTATATGAAGAAGTTCATAGATAGTCAACTATGATCCATACTTTTACAATGTTGTTATTATTGTTTTGTATCTATCTATATTCTGAATATGTGATAATAACGAAGAAAAAATAATTCTCAAAAGATAAAAAAAAAGTGAAATAAAACTAGTATATTACATCAATGGTTGCGTTGACAATAGATGAAAAATCGACATCTTGAACAATTTGATCTAAACTGGTTATATCTATACTTTCTGATGAGCTATCTAATATATATGCTGTTGACGATATTTGATGTACTTCTAAAGATTTATTATTTAAGAAAAAAAAAATAATTATTATTTGAGAAATATTTACCTGAAGGTGGTTGGCTTTTCAGAGTTAATAGTTGACTGTTAACTGTTGGTGATGGAAACTGAGTACGTTGATTTCTTTTCTCTCGACTGAAACCTAAACCCATTAGAAATGATTATCTAGAATAAATAATAAATGAATTTATTTTTGTTTTATATATTCGAAAGATTCATTATCGTTTCGTCAAAAACTAAAACTGATATGGAAATATGTTGAATAAGAATATTTTATTCTCTTCAACAAACTAAGTTTTATAAAAAAAAATCAATAAAAGAGTGTTTATACTACCAAATATGTTAACTTCGCCAATTAAATATAGATAGAGTTAGAAAAAACAATAAATCACTCTTCATCCTATATGCATTCGACTCGAATACGATATCATTTTTCTTCCTCATTTTACACTCTCAATGGGAATATTTATGTGAAATAGAAGTCTCACTTCACCACCATCCATATTATCATGAAAAAAATGATTTCTAAACCGAAATGTTCAATTAGAAGATTTTGAAAACTGTTCTAAACAACAAATATTAATTGTAAAATAATATCTTGAAAAAGTGATAGGATAAATGGTCATTAAAAAAATTCAATTACGTTATTTGTAATGATTGTGTTGTCTAATATATTCTGTGTGTTAATCGTTAAAATGTTCTAAAAAAAGATTGATTGTGAAAGATAGTCTCTTGAATAAAATAAAAATATTTGAAATAAAAAGATTGATACTCAAGATATATTCATTCGAATATAATTGTTTGACCAAACGAGATCTAATCATTGTGCAACTATTTTTCACTTTTATTCTTTCTTTCTTTCTTTTATATACCAAACATAAATAAAAGTAACTATGAAACTATAATTGATTGTCATTTTGAGAAGAACAAATAAAAAATATTTAAATACATTATAGAAGAAGAAGAATAAATATTCTTAACAATTTTTTTTCTTTCAACATTCTGACAACAATCAAAAATAGTTACCTTTATACTTTCATTGTGCACTATTATATTTTATTTACCCATTGACTTGAATTTATTTTATGTATATCATCATTTATATCAATCGATAAATTATTTTAATACTAACTCAATTTTATAGAAATTCATTTATTATTGATCATCTTCTAATAACGATCATTTTTATATATTACTTATAAATTCTAGTAGACTTTATATTATAAAGACATTCGTATTGGATGTATGTACCATATAACGACGATAATATATGTATTACCGAATTTTTTTGTTTGAGCAACTTATTTTCTAGTAATCAACCATATTAAAAGACTTTACCCTCTTGTTATATGTTAGACCATATTAACTGTCTAGAGGATCTTCTAATACAATTTTCATATTAAATTTTTGAAAATATTTCAAAAGAATTATTTTATATTTTCTATAACTATTTCCACAAAAAAAAATCCTGTTTTAAAAGGTGTACTTATCAGATTCTATATTCGTCAATCATAATGTAGTTATGTGACGTTTATCGTATGGTTGACTTATTCTATGAAACACGACATAAAATAAGTTATCAACTATATAGGGAAGATATTTCTATCCACTGCTCCTATCTTTCCGCAAAGACCATAGAACCTCATCAAAGACCGTGATGGATACTAAGCTTTTCCTTCTTTCCGGTAGAGACTAGGACAGACTTTTCTCATACAGGATCAAATATCGCCTAGCACTAACGTTCTATTAACCTACGTGTAAAAAGTCTTGAGACAAAACCTTTTTTTTTAGATATTTATTTCAATAAATAATCTTTATTTTTTCTTTTTCGTATTATCAAATACTAGACACAATAACGTTTATTAAATAAATAAGAACAAGGTTCGTAAGGTTGTTTATCTTCAAATTTGCAAACTTGTTTTCGTATGTCTGAAAATATGGCTCGTACAACTTTTATATTGATTTGTTTTTATAATTTTTTTCTTTAATTGATCAATTGATTTTGCTTTCTCCCCTCGTTGATAGACCATATAATTTAAGATTGACCATTAACTTTCAATTGAACGTGACTGTAGACAGTTTTGAGGATTATATTGTTTATGTACGATTTTCATTCGACTTTCATCTAAATATTCTATCACCTTGCGACTCTAATGATTTGAACCTAAATCAAGCCAATATAAAAGTTTTATTTTAATATGATAGCTCTCGATAAAAGGCATCAAACATCCTATAATATAATAATTTGAAATACATTTATTGGTCAATAGGTTACTTTTAGTTGTCAAAGAATGGCTTTGAAATACAATATTCAGATAGAAGAATTCAAAGCAATATTTTTCGTTTTAACTTTTGACTTTTGTTAAATATTATTTCTGATAGTAGAGTATTTCTATCCGATGTATAAATTAGTAGAAATTTACTCTATAGTTCGAATTTGTTCAAGTTATTAATCAGTATATTTTAGTGGTTATTTTATCTTATGATAGATTATATCGATAGTTTTCAAATCGTTTCGAATTGTTTTTAAACTAACTTTAAATTTTGAAGATAATTTAGGTAAAAAAAGTATCTGTCTTGTTATTGAGAAGGCGTTGCAGGCATGCTAATTATCTTATTGATAATATATTTGCCCGATCAGATCGAAGATTGTTAGGAATACAACCAGATTCTTTATACTTATTAATAATATAAAATCTAGTTCTATGTTATACTTTCTCTTATAAAAAATGATTGACAGGATATTTATTTTCTCTATTTGCTACATTCACGTTATATATTATAGAATCTGTTTTTTTTAACTATTCTTTCTCTGAACGTATCGTATCTATAAAACAAAAGAATGATATAACATTTTTTATATAAAATTAAAGCTCTTTCAATGCTCCATAAGTTAATATTAAAAAAACCGAAAAATCAATCAGTCCTGCACGAGAAATCTATATAACAAGTTTGTGCAAAGACTTTTTACACTTAGGTTAGAAGATCTGAACTATTTTTTCTTTCCAATTCTAGATAATTAAGTAAAGAATGATGAAGAAATGTGTCTCGAAATAAATCGAATAGAAGAATTTTAATATGATTAGTAATAAGATGTATATCGAGTTTCAAATTTAACTTGATTAAAGATAATGGTAGGAACTCTTTCTAGTATAATAAAATGAGTAGTTATTCGATTAGATTTATGTCATCATCTTAACGTTTCATCTTCTCATTACACGTCAATATCAACGGAAGGACCCAAAAACCTATTAAACCTCTTGAAAACATAAAGATGTACACATTTATACTGAACAAATTACAAATAACTTTTATATATTAAAAAATTTAACAGAGAAAATAATCCATAAGATTCGAATTAAATTAAAATAATAATTCGAAGTTATTACGTCAAATTTCGATTGTATTTCTAACCAGAATCTTATCAACTCCTATAACTATATTTTATCATTTTTATAATTTTACTCGAACACTAATTAGTGGAAAATCTCAATCTACCACTATAACGGCCGAGTGCTAATAAAAAATCGATAAATAGTTAAAAAAAACTTCAATGAAGACTTGAAGTTTAGTATTTGAACTTATCGTTGAACTCTTTTTTATTGAAACTGATTTAATCTCATTTTAGGATAATAAATAAAATATAATGACATGTAGACAAGGACAATATTCAAGAAGGAGCATCCTATTTTAACCTCATCCTGCTTCTCTTCAAACGGATAGGGAGTATCTATCAGTCATCGGGCGCGACGCTGAAAACCTTTTTTCGGCATAGTTCGATATGAAAATAGAAAAAGTTTTTGAAAATTTTTCTTGGTCGATTAACAGATCCGAATCTTCTAATACGTTTTTCAAACTTTTGACTAAGGGAGACTTCTAAAATAGGGGGAGGAGAGTTTAGTCAAGATCCTGAACTAGAGAAAATAAAATATTTTCCTATAAACTTCAATTTCGGTCTCGTCAATTTTTTAATCTTGTGATCTCAATCTGAGTAGAATTTTATTTTTTGATCTCATATATTCGTAATATGTGAGCTATGAGTTGCGCAATACGAGTTTGAATGAAACAAGTCAATATTCTGATTTAGTGAATACATTAAATAAACATTTATCTTTATTATAATTATTATTTAACGAATTACTTTAGTGGAAGTTAGGCGGAAAATGAATAAATCTTTTCTAGAATATCAACTATTTATCAATTAAAAATCGCTTCTCCAGATGTAAATAACATTTTATTTTAGTATTAGAATTGTCGATATCAGGGAATAGAATATACATATTCTTTTCTTCGATATTTCTTCGATATTTCTACAATATTTTATTCATTTTTATGCTTTGAGCATGTGAAAATATAAAAAATTTTAGATTTTAATTGATATTATTCTAAGAATAGATGAAATATATCGAGATTAATATTGACATCTTAGGACATAAATTTAATGAAAAATTAATTTTTACGATCATTTTGCAATTAGAAGTGAAGTTATTTATCTAACAAGACAATGACTCATTCACTGTTAATACACATATACTTGTTATATCAAAGATCAACAACAAATAATTAAACTTGTTGATTAGATTTGATCGAATAAAATGATTTGATTTAGATTTTAAAGATATATATTTATGGTAGATTAAAGTAAGAAGTTTACACATAAGTTAGTATCAATCTTCTATGGTTATATTCTTATGTAATATATGATAAATGATAATAATATATTTGTTTAGAATAATAGAATAAACTATTTATTAAATGATCAATATCTTTAATTGAATAATATCTGAAGAAAAATATTTAATAAGATAAATTCTAATAGAGAGAATAAAAATGATTGAAGTGAAAAATAATCTTTCGATAAAATGAACATATAATAAATAATAGATTGTTTTTAAAGAATTTTCTAAAGAAAAATGATTTCGTCTGTTTGGAGTTGGTCAATAAAAATTCTTTTTTTCAACCTATTATATCATTCAAAAATTTTTATTATTTTAAATAGAAAAAAATCTGTTTCAATAAGAAATTATCTTTTGATAATGTGTCACTTTAAGTGAATATATATTTTAAAATAAATTGAGACATTTTAAATGATAATTAACTTCTTCCACAGAATAGAACATCAATGGACTTCAAACTTGTTTCACAACGTCAAAATTTTCGAGCCGATCTTTTATTATGATTGATTTTTTTTTCTAGGTTCTATCCATTATTTGATTTGATTAAAAGTAGAACTCAATAAATTCGAATTTTGAAAATGTCTCAGAGCTGTGATAGTTAACGATGAAAAAAAATATTAACTTTAATACTTTTTTAATTTAATTTTATAAGATAATTTGAGTGATGCATTGATTACACTATTTATCCCATTTTCATGTTCATCTATCATCAGTACTTCGTGGGTCATTAATATAGATATATTAAAAGACGTTTATTAGGATATATTCATTTGATAAACTATCAATCTTTGAAGAAAACTTCTTTCATCTATATATCAATATGAGTTTATCAGTCGATCTCATCTTAGAAGCTTATTTACAGTTGAACAATGTAAACAAATCTAAGATAACCTGTTGACTATAAAATAAGAGCTTCTCATTTACATGAAATAGTTAGTTGAGATCTTATGAATAATTCCATAGTAGATATTATACTTATCTCATAGTAGCATTTACTGTTTTTGAGTCTAATAAACTGTGATGTAATATCAATCTGGTATCAATTTTTTTCTTACATTAAATAATAAAGAACTGTCAAGTTTTATTTAATAGTTTCATTTCCTTAGATTATATCAGTAGCTATTATCAATTGAATATGTTTTATTTTCTCATTATTTTGTTCGATCTAGGTGATAGATTTTATGTTAATATTTATTTTATTGATTTTATTATTAAGGTTAAGGTTATGTGTTATGTTTATGATGTTAAAGTCCTATTATTATATTTCTTAATGATGTTATGTTTTTTTTCTTACATAAAATAATAAAAAAGTGTTAAATTCTATATAATAGATTGATATCTAGACAATCTATAATTTCGTAAGAGAAAAAAGTCCAAGATAATAGTATAAAAAAATGTCTATATTATATTTGCAATTTGTTGAATAACTATCTCTGATCAATGTCTATACACATATATTTTTCGGATCATAGAAGAAACTATGTTTTTTTTTTCTCATTATTATAAAATTTTTCGAAGAAAGAGAATTGTATAGAAGAAAAAAGTTCGAATAAAGTAAGAAAAATCGATAAAATGATGTATTCGATGATTGACATAACCTATTATTGGTCGATGAGTTAGTGTGTCCTTGATTAACATATGATAGATGACTATCTTGATATTGACCTTCTATACTGTAGAGTAGGCAATCAGTTTTTTTTTCAACCTTCCGATGAATATAATGATGATCATCAATCAATATCTGTTGAATGTTCTAAAAAGAGTATTTATTCAACTGAATATAAATTCTTCTTTATTTATGAATATAATAGGAAAATCGAACTCTTCAAATAATTAAATCAAATCGAAAACTAAGAAGATAAAATTATTTTTCTTCCTAGACAATCATCTATAGTCAACATTGAATAAAAATAATATTTTTAAAAAATCTCCTCATTTTCATTTTATTCATAATAAAAAGAAAGAAAGTTTGTTTATAACAAAGAAATTGATTGTAAGAAAAGAAGAAATGAATATTTGATATGAAGAGAAAAAAATGATATTTGAAAAGCAAAGTTGATGATGATGTTTAGTGAATAATTTATTAAGATAAAAAAAAAAAAAAGAAAAGTGTTAATTGTGTGAAATTTTAGTTAAATCATTAATAAACATATGTCGACTAAATGTTGTATAAATATGTCTATACCAAAGCATTTGTGATCGATGAGCATGAAAAGCTTTTAATCCTTGAATATATTGAAATGGTGAATTTAGAAATAAAATACGTTTATCATTCGGTTGAGAAAATAAAAATGGAAATATTGTTGAAAATAAATTTCGAATTAATCGAGGTAGAAATTGAATTATTGTTCGAAATATATCAAATATTGAAGAAAATTCAAATAAAAATGAAACAGTTGATATTTCATATATAAATGGAGTTTTATTTGAATTAATAATATAATATTCAATTCCAATAGATAATGATCTATGATTAAGATGACCAGATATTCCACCATTATCAAATGTTATTAATAAATCAATTTCAAATTTTTTTATATATTTTTCGACTATTTCAGATATTTTTTCTTTAGGCCACCAATCTTTTGGATTATCTTGTAAATCCGTTAAATTTAATGATATACAATTTGATAAATTAACACCTAATCTTTGACAACTTTGTTTTAATTCAATTTCTCTAATTGCTCCTAAACCATTACTATTACCAGTCGAAAAAACAAGAATATGTCCAACTTTTTGACGATATATTAAACCAAGAATTGTTGGACTAAAAAATAAACATTCATCATCGGGATGTGCAACAATAATAAGAAAATTTTTTGTTTTTTCTAATTGATTAGGAATAAATGATTGAATATTTTTAATTGGTGTTAATATAATAAATAAATAAATCGATAATGGTATTAATAATAAAAATCGAATTATAAATGACAGTGATATTCGACGAATTAATCGATTTCGAATTCGAATATTTTCATTATCATTTGAATCTGATGAATCAACTAAATTTATTGAATCTTCTTCATCTTTTTTATCATGATAATATTTTATATTACGAGAGATTTTTTTAATTATTCCAATTATTTTCATTGAATTTTTATATTATTATCTGAAATTAATTTTATTTTAGATTTAAAAAACAAAAAAAAACACGATCAATTTTATTTTATCACTTTGTTTTTATTTCTTAAATATAAATATAAAAATCGAATTTGTACATTTATCTAAATGTACTATTTTACAAAAAAACAAAAAAAAAACAATTTATCCAATTCAAGTTAGTTATCAAGTTTTTTTATCAATCTAGTTTTTTTTTATTCAAGGAGTGAAAATAAGTTGTTTAGTGTGTTTTGTATATGTTGATAAATGAAGTGATTGATTTAATGTTATGAACACTGATTCGAATAAAATTGGAAGATAAATAATAAATAATTAGTGAAGTTAATAAAAAAATAAATGAATTTATTGAGATTGATGTGATTTATGTCTGATATAGTGAAAATCGAACAAAAAAAAAGGTTGATATAAACGATTTAAGATAAATATTGATGATTGATTATATCGTCATTTTCTTCTTTCCCATTGTTTTCAATATGATATTATTATTTTCATAGAACTCGTTGAATTATATTCTATTTAAAATAAAAAAAGAAAAGAAATATTTATTTATTTTAATTATTCAAATATAAAATATGTAAGATTGATTATGTATCATCTAATGGATCTATAGTGGATTGATGCATCGTCTATAGAATAATAATAATATACTATTTTATATATATTGATCAAACAGTTTTTTTTACGATATCCAACTATCGTTATATCTAGATGGTATATCGAAATAGTTAAATTCGATAATTCTCATTCGAGAAAAGTTAATTTATGATGATTTAGTAATATTCTAGAAAAATCTATCTCTTCTCTTCAAATAAATTTCTCTTGATCGAAAAAATTTGAACAACTCTTCAATAATAATATATTTAAAATCTATTCACTGTTTATCTATCTGTGGATGTCTAAATCAGTGAGTCGCTTTTATTGTGGATAGATGCATCAGTGATACCCATCACTGTTCGATTCCTATATGTTAAATCTAACTTATGTCTAATCGAACAAAAATTGTAAAAAGAAAAAAAGAAAAAAAGAAAAAAAGAAAATAATTTTGTTGAAAACGTTCGAATTAATGATTGATCAACTAAAACTAATCGATAGAATATTATAATTTAATAAATAATTTATTTATTTATCTTGATAAAAAGTTTTTTTCTTCAAATAAAAATTGTCTAGGATAAGGTCAATAGATTTTTAAAAAATAATTAATTCTAATTTATGTTTTTAGAAATGAAATTAATGATTTGATTAATAAAAGATGAAGAGTGATAGAAAAAAGATAATTATCAACTAAAAAAGTGATATCTATTAAGTTTTGTAAGATAAATCGTTATTTAATTGATAGAATATGATTTATTCAGATTGAAATAAGTTATCAATATTCTGAAAAGAGTTTATGCGGTTAACTTATTATCATAAGAGATTTGAGAAAAACTCGAATTGAAATTGATGTTATAAAATAAATCTAAAAATTACCTTGATAAAATTTTTGTTTCTTCCAATAAAAAAAATAAAAATAAAAATAATAAAAACAATAATTGAAATTGAAAATGTTTGATTTTGACGTTGAATATTCATAGGAATATTTTTAAAAATCATATCATCAGCTTTATGCCAAGATCCACTACCTAAATGTTTAAATATAGGTGTATTAGTTTTTCCTCCAATCATATTTTCTTTTCCATCAAGAATTAATATAGAATTCCATAATGAACGATTTAATTGGATTTGTATTGATATACACATTGGTCCTGCTGATATAACAATAGTTGCATGTGGTAAAAGAAAATTTCTATTATAAAGTTCAAGATTTTTAATAACACGTTCAAGAAGTGGATGATTACGTGTTGATATCATAAAACCATTTGATATTCCAACAGGAAAAGCTTTAACTGCTAAAAAAATATGTTGATCAGATGATACTCGATTATCTAAATAATTAAAAAGTCCATCTAATTTATGAAGACAATATAAATCCATATCAAGAAATATTCCACCATAATAATGAAGAAGAAAATATCTTAATGCATCAGCTTTTTGTACATTTGTTTTATATGAATTCCAACTTTTTAAAAACCATGGATAATTTTTTTCAAGAAATTCTTTACTATTATTATCTGTCCAATAATAATGTTCTTCAAAATTTGAATGAAGTGAAATACATGAATTTCTTGCTGATAACCAACTTGATGGAGGAGATTTACTTAATGGTCCAAGTAAAATATGATGCATTCGACGAGGAATATATTCATGTTCAACTGGTTTTGTTGAAAGATTTAATAAATCAATTTTAATATGAACTGGAGATGAAAATGGCCATGTTAAATAACAATTTATAAATCCAATTATACAAATAACATGTCCACGAAATAATAATAATAGAATTATTAATAAGAAAATAAATATTCGAAATAAAATACTTTTTACATTAGTTTTTTTTAAATATTTAACTTCATTTATTGATTTATCGAAATAATTTCGATTCTTTTTTGTTGATAAATTTTCATTTGAGATATTTAATTTTTCATTTTCATTTTCATATTCCATTTTTTTTTCTTTTTCTTCTTTTTTGTTTAATCAAATAATAAATGAGATTAGTTTTAAAATAACAATTGACTAGTTCACTTTAATTACCTAAAACAATAAATAATTAAGAGTTTTTTTCGATTTTATTTTAACAAATAAATCAAATATATTTGAAAAATTAGAATTTTTATTAAATAAATCTTTTTTTCTCTAATCTTTCCAACCTTTGTTTATTATTTCTAAAGAAGAAATCGTTTAGATGGCCTCAGCATAATCATATGCAAACAAAAAGCAAGGCAAACATAATCATTCATTTGGAAAAAAAATTCCATTAAATTACCTATGATATAAGATTAACAACAAATTTCTTTTTTCTTATATAATAGAGATCATTTATAGAGAATTATATTAGAATATTTTTATATAAATTAAATTATTTTATTTATCTTTTATTATCAGATAAATAATAATTTATCTATCAATAATGAGTAAACATATTAAAAGGCAGAAAGAATAATCTTAAAAAAGAAAACGAATATAAATATAACCGATAGGATTAATCTAATCAATGATTTTTTATATCTAGTTTTCTAATGCAATATCCTACAGACTTTATTCAGTGGATTTTTTTATTAAAAAATATCAATATATTCAGAGGAGAAATATATAAAAGAATATCAACGGATATATTTTACAAGGGTTAAAAAAACAAAGACTTTAAAGATAAAAACTATTATCAAACATTTTTCACAATTTCGAATTTCAAAAGAAAAAACTTTACTTCATAAGACAAAAAGATTTTTTTTTGTTTTTTTTTTATTTATCTATTGAGAGTTTTCTAAGGTAATAATAGGGGATAAATTACTTTCGAAAATAAAAATTCTTTTAGAATAATAAATCTAAACGATTTAATTTAATATTCTGATAACTAATAATTACAGTTTAAATAAGTAAATTCTATTGATAAATATATTTATCTATTATGATAAATATATATCGTCTTATCTAGAAGAATTGTTTTATTTATAATATAAAATATATTTTCTATCGAAAAGTTAATTTTCATCTTTTAAACTTAAAATGAAATTGTTAAAATAATAAAAAATCTCTTATTGAATATGTTATTTATTAGATTATTTTAATATGAAACGAAATTAATAATTCTAATCAATAGTTGGATATGTTTTATGCTCGAAAATATTTATAAGTTTATAATAAAAAACGTTTAAATAAATATATTTCTATAGAATATATTCTTACTAAACTTGTCAAACAATTTTCTTTTAGATTTTCTTCAAAAATTTGTTTGATTGTCGAAAAACAATTCCGACGATATTATTTTATATGTATTTGCACTTTACATTTTTCTCTTTCGAAAAAAGAGAAAGATCAACTCTCGACAATATTCAAATAAAAACTTCTATATAAAAATGAAAATAACTAGAAATATTTTCTTATACTCATTAATGTGATTAGGAATAAAAAAAAGGATTAATTTATATGAATTAAATTAAATTGTTAGTTTTATTAGATATTTAAGTAAAAAAAATCATTTTTTATAATAATAAATAGTTTTATAAAGGATATATAAAAAACAAAATTTTCTCTTTCCTATATAGATTTAAATAGTTATTATCTAATCCGTACATTTTAACAAGCCAAAATCACTTTTTTTCCATGTGAAAACCTTTATTTTATGACGAAAAAGGGTAAAAAATGCAAGTTTCTTTGCGCGTTTCCTCTAAATAAGATTTTTAAAGAAAAAAGTTCAAATTTTCTTCTCCTTTATCCTAAACGATATGATTGATTGAGCTCAAACGTTTTTTTATTATTAGTTCGATAAAATTGGGGTGCGTGGATTTTATTTCTATTGAAAATTTTCTACCTTATCAAGTTCGAGAGATTTTACAAAATGAACACCATAGAAAAAGAAAAAAGCTTTTTTTAATGATTTTTTAATAATATCTCTACTGTTTTACTTCTCCTTAGTCTGATGATGAATATTTATCAAAGAAAATCAAACAAGATACCCAAATTTATTCCTAGTTGAGAGAGAAAAATAATTTCGGATGACCGTTTACCAAAGAAGAATAATTAAGATCATATTTAATTCGTTGACCTTGAAAAATGTTATTGAATAAAATATTTGCTAATTATCAGTCTATGATAAGTTTTATTCTACTGATCGAGATCTATCTACTAAGAAAAATTTTGAAAAATTTTCAATAAACATCATAAAGGAGATGACTAACCTTAACAAAATAAATAAAATAAAATCTAGATGTTACCTTCAATACTGAGAATATATATAATCATCTTCCCTATCAATAAAATTTACTTTTATATTGACTAAAATCATATTCTCTTTTCTTTTTTTCAATTTCAATTTATTTTATCATTATTTAAAAGTTAATCTTTTCGTTTATTGAATTTTTTTTTTCGAAAAATAAATAATATATAAAATATATTCTCTCATTAAATAAATAATGATTAATTAAGAAAAAAATCTTCTTTCTAACTTAACTTAAAATTGAAATATAAAATTGATTTTATTTTATCATTATTATTTATTTATTTTAGTTGAAAACAAGAACAAATCAATTTTACTTTTTATCAATCAAATTTCAATTTTGATTCAGATCAAATTTTCTTTTTTTCTTTTTCGTCAAATAAAATAATTTCATCTTTATATTTAATAGATTTAAATAACAAATATTAGATTTTTACTCATTATTGACAAAAGATTTCATTTTTTCTAATCAACATTTCTATAATTATATTGATTGACCTCATTTGAGAGAAGAAAAAATCTCGATCAATGCCTTATTCTCTTTCATATGACGTAGACTTTTTCTTCCTCTTATTTAACAATGCTACTCTCATTCCTGGTTACACGTTTCTATAGAGAACAATATTTGCTTCTTTTTTTTTTTTTATTGTTTAAATAGAAAAATAAATGCAGTTACTATCGAGAATTCTCTTTATAATTAACGAAATATTTCTAAGATAATAACATTCATTTAAATCCAACGTTAGATTTACAATTCATAGAATTAGAAATTGATAAACTTCAACAATTCTTTCATCTTTATTTTCGATAAACTCATTAAACATTTTTTTCTTTTTTTTCAAATTTTCAATAAAGAAAAAAAAGAAAAAGATTTTTTTTTCACTAAATTAAAGATAGAATATATATCTATCAGTTATTCCACGGTAAGGACGACCAATCCTACTCAATCGATATAATGGATTGTCAATGAAATTTATTCAGTATTTACTCCTAACTAAGATATGAAAATGAGAATAATTTCACCTTATTTAACTGTTTTCTTGTTAAGATATTGAAACTATAATAGAGGCACCCTCAAAATAAAAAATCAAGCTAATAACATCAGTACCCAGAGATTCTATATTTAAATATAGAATCTCTGGGTACTAATGTTATTAGCTTGATTCTTTTATTTGAGACTGTCTCTATTATAGTTTGAATATCTCAACAAGGAAACGATTTAATAAGGTGAAATTTTAAAGATTTTCATATCTCAGTTAGGGGTAGATACTGAATAAATTTCATTGACAATCCATTATATAAATTGAGTGCATGGTCGGTATTTGAGTCGTCTGTTTTGTGTAATGGATTCTATGAAATATATAAAATAAAAATATTGATGATTTTGTTTTAGTATGAATTTGTAAAAAGTAAAAATCCATGATATTTGTTAGGATCTATTTTAATGTTAAATATATCGAATAAAAGATTAACGATAATAGAAAAAAAAAACGACATTTTATTTTAAATATCATATATATATATATATATATGATTTATTCGTTGACGATGACTTACCTGACCAGAAAATAATATAAAAAAAAAAAAGACAGGAAATAAATTCTTGTTTAAAAAATCTGGTTCAACGTCGTTTTATCTTATGTAAGAGTGTGAACTTTTCAAGGTTGTCAATAATAATTGAGTTTAAACAAGGTTTTTTATATAAACATATTTCATTTCGTTTTTTTCTTCGTTGACAACCATACTCAATATGTTAACAAACGCCCCATGTACATTTTTTTAATCAAAAAGAAAAGAAAAAATACATTAGAAAGAAAAAAAAGTGACGTTCTATGATCAATACTGATCGCAAAAAATAAATGGTAAGAAAAAAAAAAAAAAAAAAAGAAAAGACAGTATGTTACTATTGGTGACTCAGATTGTGCGTCAGTCGACTTAATAACACAAAAAATAACACACAACCAACATAAATGTGCATAAGTGGGCGATGCTTTTCATATAGATAATAATCTAGTTTATTCATGATTAATCAAAATCAAAACTATTTTATTAGGTTCAATCATTGACTAGAGTTTAATTAGATTTTATAAACGAATTTATTTATATTTAATCTACAACTACTTCTTTTCAAGATAAATAAACATTCGCTTTTTTTTGCTTTATATCAATTTAAAAAAAAATCTTCTATGGATATATTATGGTCATCTCAAAAAGTTTATTATTATTATGTTTAACAAAAAAAAATCCGTTAATGCTAGATTATGAACATATAATAGATCTCACATTTTTCTTTTTTTCTATTTAAACTATCATAGATTTCAATGATAAAAATCGTTTACTAAAAAGTTAAATTAGTACATACCTTGAAAACTAATGTTGATAAAGATTTTTTTTTTGTTCTGCTTAATATTTTATATAATTTGAATATTTGAACAATCAATCAACTTGTTCTATACGGTTTATTTAATACCTGATTAAAAGATAAACGATGTTGATAAATGTAAAAAAAACAAATCCTAACAGTTGAATTATTAATTTTAATCGATAAATCTTGTTAGAAGAAACGAATCAACCAATAAATCAAATTTAAATTATCATCTTAATTATCTATAAAATAATAAATGAATAGTATGTATTAGACTCCTTCAAACAAATAAATAAATTCGTTTTACGTTTTTTAAATTCAAATTTGTTCTTTTTCAAAAAAAAAAAAACTCATTTTAATGTGATT